CCAGCGGTTAGCACAATCTCTCCTTTCCTTACATTTGCTCTCTGGCTCGCAGCACCGATCGTGTCTCAGGGCTGCTGTTTACAGAACAGTCCAAATTTCACATGTTATTCTCTTTTTACAGAAGTGCTACTCATACAGTGCATAGATTAGGAGATGAACAGTTTTGAATAATTTTTAAGAACATAATAAAAGGCTATTTCAAAAGAAGGAGAAATAAACACATCAAGCCCTTTTTTAGATGCATGTGAATCTGTGGCATTTACAAACAGAGCAATGACCCAACTAAATCTCCATTTGGACCCAAATGACTATACGTAGATGTCAATATATGATTTTGTGGGCACAGCAGAAGAGACAGCGTTTTGGCAAGCACAAGCGTGCTTGCCTTTACTACTACATTTCCATTAAAGACAGAAGGAACAAGCCAGATACCTCACGAACAGTAACAGGTGCTGGCTTGTGCAGTATGGGAAAGTCAGAATTCAACATGCATTTGCCAAGTCTCACACAAAATAGCTGAAACGACTCAGCATCTTTCTTTCCTATTTCACTATGCTCAGCATATGTAAATTAATGACAAATGCAATATTACTTATTGAATACCCTCATGAGCTATGAGTGTTTTACATCACAAGGAGAAAATAAATTTTAAATGAAACTTAATGTGTTTAAAATCTGCTTTATCAGATCTGGAAACACAAATACTGTGTGCTTTAAGTAATAATGCTAAAGCAACAGACAGACTTAAGTCTACTGAGGTTTTTTTATGGGTTTCTTTCAGAATTTATTTGCAGTTCTTTGGGTATAATATTATTGCAGTGTTTTTCCACTTACGATGTTTCTCCTTGAGGATAGTTACAATTTTTTTTCCCCTATATCTTAAATTTAGAACTACATATGCTACTTTTTTGTCTTTTGATCTGGGAATATATATGAACATATGACCTTAAATTAATATTGCATTCAGCACAAAAGGCCTTAAAGATACGGACAGGGTCTAAATTATGGCAGCTATAGGAATGTTGATTTTAAATAGCTAGCTCTTATTTATACAGTATTTTAACCACAAATAAAAGCTGCATATAAATTCAGTGGGGATTTTGTTTGGCTAGGTTTTTGCTCTACTTCACAGTTGATAATTGAATACTTTCATGATCATGCTCCATGATCCCACGCACAGGACACAGCAGTCAGCAGGCTGCTGTTTAGGCTGACCCCGCTGCATCTGGCATATAGAAATCTGGAGCAGACCACGAGAACTCTCACTGTGCTCCCTGTCAGCGCCTTGTTCTTACAGATGAGCCAACCAGTAGCTCAAATTAATTGCATCCTGATCACATATATATTTTTGCCAGGCAATAAAAGAAGGCTAAATCCACACACCTAAATAATTCTTATTCACCTGTGTATCTGTCCAGGCACACCTGGTTTTTATTTCTTTTACTACGGGACTCAGAATGATTGTGAACAGAGTCTTACTTCCCAAATGAGGTGGAAGAAGCAGGGTGAGGTCAAGAGGCAGGGTACATAATATACCATCCATGGGCTAGGCTAGTAAGAAAGAGCACTGCAGCAGCCAGGCTGGTTAAGGCTGCGTAATAAATATTCATTTGTCTTTGAGTTTTCTCCTAACATTTTTCTCCTAGGTGTACTTCTACTCTAGCCTTTTGACCATGTGGTCATTTAAAGAGTGGAAGTGGAATTTTCAAAAATGTTTTATCAACCTACTGCTATTGCCGTGGTTGCCTACAGTAACGCCCTTCACTCACTTTGGGAAGAATAGAACTAGACCGAAGTCTACCCTCTTTATTTTTCTAAGTATTTGCAGTCAGCCTTCTACCGATCTGCCAATTCTGTGTGCCAATAACTGCTGAACATGCCCGCCCCACCCTGAGTAACAGTTAACAGCACACTAAAAGAGCCTGCTTAGAAAAGAAGACATTTCCATACAGGTTACTTTGCAGATGTTTAATATCTATTTCTTGATCAGGATTTTGCTGAGTGCGCCACAAAATACCTGGAGATAACATCTCTGGCAGGACCTGGCGCTCCTGCACGTGTCCGTGAGCAAGACACACAAGGCACCTGCTCCCTCAGGTGAGGTAAGGCTGTGGCTGATGCTGGCAGCCCAGGAGCCTGAGAAGCATGAGCTGCCTCCAGCCCTGTCCTGAAGGAAAGGGTTTTTGAATTTCACGGGGAAGCCTCACTCCTCTTGACATGGCTGCAGGCAGTGGCCACCTCTGCAAGTGCTGGGAGAGGCAGTGCAGGGAGCAGGCTAAAGCACAGCCATACCTGGCTGGCATTTCTACCCACATCCTGCTCCTGGGCCAGCCAAGTCCTTCGCCAGCTGGTCAACAGCTGGAGAAGTCAACGTGGCTGCAAGGTTTTGAACACGGATAAAAGTGTGATGTATTACTTCCAATAAACCTAGCAGGCAGGTAATTCCTGTGCAGTCCTGAGAACTTATGTGTGGTATTATAAGAGGAGTCGCCACCACATCCATCTGCCTCTGAGGCATGCAAGATGGAAAGGAAAGGACATGACAGTAGAACAAAAACCTCAGTTCAAATATGCCAAAAATTACCTTGACCTCTGAAGAGAAGCAGCTGTCCATCTGTCCTCTGAAGAGAACTATCAGTCGGCATTTGTACATCCACATCTCTTATTCCATACCCATACAAGAAAGTTTATACATCCCAAAGGACTTTGGGATTTCAGACCCTATCAGACAGGCCCAGGGTTGACAGATCATCCCAGTGTGGCTACATTATAATAGCAGAAAGCATCAATATCAGGCGTTGAAGGGTTCCAAATTTTCATTGCCACCATCATCTAAAACTCACGCTTGGGAATAAATTTGTTTCCAGCTCACAAAGTGAATTTAAGATTGAGCATATGCTTATGCTTGAATTTAAAACAGAGCTATGCTTTCTACTCAGCTTGTAACTTCTTTGGGATAAGAATCTTCTCTTTAAATAAACAATATAACAAATAATAAATTAACATAGTTTCATAAAAGTATCAGAGTATTTCCAACCAGATTCTTAAAACGTAAAATGTATTTTTTGTTGTACATCAAGGAGCAAAAAGATAGACTAAGATGCAATGAGGAAAAACGTTTAAAACTTTTCAGTAAGATGAGAACATCATCCCGGTATTTAATGCTTCTGATAACATGTCGTTCCATCAATCAGTTATTTATAAATACCTGGCCAAGCTTACTTGCATTGACATCTGGCCTTCTTGAGGTAGTTTTAGAAAAAAATCAATATTATGATTTTTTTCTTAATAAGCTTAACTTGTGTCCTTCATTTGTGCCTGTAATTTTGTACATATATGTTACATGAATATTCCAGCAAGTGCATTGCTGGCATTCAGGGCCACCAGGTCTCTTTCCATAGTTCATTAGAACCAACAGAAGGGACCACAATTTGTTCATAAATATTAGGCAAAGAGATTTAGGTGAAATCCAGCAAATACCTTACTCATGACAGAGTATTTGCCAGGATCTAGGTTCATGAGACGTGGCTGCCATGAAGACTGCAGGGATAGTCTTTGCATGCTAACATGGCAAACGCATCGTGCTAAACTATGCAAAAACTGTACGGTCCATGCAAAACCCAGCAGGGGCAGCTTTAGATCTTACCAGTAGCTTGTCTTAAAAGATGTACAGTATCTCCAATCTGCTAAGCCACATCCTGTTACTTGGTCAAGCAAGAAAGAAAACAGAGTATATCTTTCTGGAAAGAGACTACTATACTAAAGTGAAATTCTTAGTTGAAATCAGGTATGGATTGGGCTAAAAAGCAGAGGTTTCAAAGCACAAGACCTCTAAGTTTGTTGCCTGTGCCCAGAGAAACCTGGCCAAATACCCTAAAAATCAGCATGGCGTTCCTTTACCTTGGGGGGCAAATGGATTGATCTTGAGTCAAATAATGGCTTACAAAATCCTTTTCCTGAAATTCTTGTCCAATTGAGTTTCTTTAGATCTATGATCTTTTGAAGAGGGGACAAGTGTGTGTGTGTGCTGTGAATAGGAGGGAAGCCTCAGTAAATTCCTATGGTGGCATTTCTACCCACATCCTGCTCCTGGGCCAGCCAAGTCCTTCGCCAGCTGGTCAACAGCTGGAGAAGTCAACGTGGCTGCAAGGTTTTGAACACAGATAAAAGTGTGATGTATTACTTCCAATAAACCTAGCAGGCAGGTAATTCCTGTGCAGTCCTGAGAACTTATGTGTGGTATTATCAGAGGAGTCGCCACCACATCCATCTGCCTCTGAGGCATGCAAGATGGAAAGGAAAGGACATGACAGTAGAACAAAAACCTCAGTTCAAATATGCCAAAAATTACCTTGACCTCTGAAGAGAAGCAGCTGTCCATCTGTCCTCTGAAGAGAACTATCAATTGGTTCAGAGTCATTGAGCAGGGGACAACGGTGCAGGCACTAACATAAGCCCAAATCTTGCTTATCCACTTCTCTCATCTCAAGCAGCAGCTTGTCTTGCTCTGAAGGCTCTCCCACTGGTAGAAAGCAACAAAACGAGATGACCTGATAGAGGTAAATTTACTGGAATTTGAAAATTGGCAATTAAGGTTTTGATCACCATTTCTTAGTCATCCATGCAGTGACACTTTTCCTTCAAGTCTTCAAGGAGCTGTTATAATTTGTATGTCATGCCTAAGGAAATTAGGTGGTGAATTCCTATGTAAGAATGTGAGGAAGGTGTTGATCTCATGCAGTTTGCAACCGCTTGTGTTAAAGGTAGGGTTGTAATGCCCTCTAACTTCAGGGTGTCATTATTTCTAAACTAAAAAATGAATCTGTGAATGGCAAGATGTTATGATATACTTACCAGTATATGAATTAAGAAATTGATATAATTTCTTACCTATAGATCTTTCCTAGACACACATTACTACACTGTAGATACCAGTGGAGAGAAATTGCTATGGAAATGATTCAGGGACTTCAAAGAGTGAGATATAATTTTATTTTTTCAAATAGAAAATTGTTCACATCTAGTCCATTTAGACATAGTCAATATGTTTCAGCACATCACATTATACTCAAAAATGACAATGCCAAGGACTTAAAAATGAACAAACCTACTGTCAGTGAGTCAGTTTACAGAAATGATTGAGCAGCAAGAAGACTCATAACCAAACCAGTGTTTAAATACATTTCTAATACAAGCCAACCATATTAAATTGACCTGTGAACAGTGCACATAGCTCCTCTTTTTTTCCCTCCTTCTCTACTCTCACGATATATGAAGACCTGCTTTAAATGAGTTAAGAGTTTAGTATTTTTCTAAATCACTTGCACAGTTCATTTTTGGATCTAGTCTTTTGAGGTACTTAATATCAGGCAGGGTAATAGTAGCGTGACAGGTTTTTCCAGCCAAGAGCAAAGACATAGTTTTGGGTGGAGCATGCATTATGACAACATGGCATCCAGAAAAGTACCTTTTTAGCAAAGAATATTTTTGAGGGCCATAAAATGCTGATGGCCTTCAGCTTCTGTTGACTCTAATACTCTCAAGAACTCAAATCTTTGGAGCTAAAAGGAAAGCACCCTTTCATGTTTGGTTTTATAGCCGAACAGGTACCTGCTGTAAACTGAAATCTCAGGGCTTATATACAATTTAGAGCAACCTGAACCCAACCGATTGCAGTATGTGCATCTCCCCTGGGCAAGCAGACTGGACTTCGGTAGAGGAGAGCCATCTTCTCCTCAGGACTAGGGCATCATGTTTCTCTGAGGCTGCCCTTCTTCTTCCTCTTTGTACGGCAGCAACACTAAGGTGAATGGACTTTTTAGATTGTAAAAGTGAGGTGAAAAAAAAACAGTCTTTGACTGACATAACTGAATTCCCCTCCTGTGCAAAGCACTAAGAAGCTTGCTTTAAAACTTTTTAAAAATACCTTGAAAGCATTATGACTCTCCGTTTTCTACAGAAAACTGTAATAGATGTTCTAGACAGTCTTGTTCTACAGGATTACATGAAGCGTCTGGGAACAGTGATAAATCCAGAAATTTTGTCCACAAAACTGAAAATACCAGCAGATCTCAACAGAGAAAAATCAAAGTATTTATTGCTGTCCTGCCTGCTCCTACTTTATATCAATATTAAGTAATAGAGTTAGTTTAAAAAAGAATCACTGCAATCTATCTCAATAAAAATGTAATATGAAGATCAGGTATGCTTAGCCTATGAATGACAGAAAAAAAAAAAGCCTGATGGTGATTTGGAACACATTCAAGGATTCTGCTGTGTCTTTCCACCACAATGAAAGACAAATTATATTGTTAAAGCCCTACACACTATGTTTTAAGGGTATCCCTTCAAGTTATGGTGACTGAGAACATTGTTTAAAAATCTTAATTCATATTTTATTACTAATTATTTACCAAATCAATAAAGCTATCTACTCTACAATGCACAGCTTTATCTATACATAGCTGTTAGAAATACACATTTATCAATCAAAATCAGAGACAACATCCAAACTGTAAAATGTAACCAGACACTCTTACCCTCTTTAAACAGTCTAATAAATAAATATAAATACATAAATATTGTGGAACAATAGTATATTACTTGCACCAATAGAGATATATTATTTATCTGTGGTCAACAGTAAAATCTTGCTTATATCTTTAGAAAGGGTATTTTAAATTTCTTACAATACAGCAAAAACTTAATATAATTCATAAATTATTGTGACAGGATCCAGTGTGTCTGTTACCCTACAAGTACTTACCAAGAGGTTTTTTAGTTTAAAGCTTTTGTGACAGGAATGCTTCTAGCTTTGGCTGTACCATAGGCAATTGCTGCATATTAGCACCATTCATGAAATAACAAGAACATCAAATCTTCTCAGAGCATGAGGTAAAACGATATTCAAAACGAAACAGTCTTTGAGTTTCTCCTTGTTTTTTCAATTTGAAAATCTAGTGCGTCATACATACAGTTGGCAATACTACCAATCTTAAATTGCAGAATTATCTCAGTACTTTGAGAAAGTACTTAAATTACACCGAATACTAAGGAGAATTTCTGTACATCTGCTTTGCCAATATCTACAAATGCATGTACAAAAAAGACAGAAGATAGCTTCTTTAAGCAAAAATATGCATATATTCTTAAGCAGCAAGATAAATGTAGTTTAAATGTACCCCCAATATTTTCTATCAAATGTTGACATTACGAACTCAAAATTTTTTGCAGTCCTTTTGAGGAATTATTCTCAGGGAGATCTTTAACTGCTACACCACTCATCACACCCTATGATACTATTTGTGATGTATTTTATCAAGCAGTTGTAAAGCCTACCCTATAAATACTAATTGGGTCTGGATTACTATTTTTAAATTATCATTTAGCATATTTTAAAGACCTTAATCTGTGACATACAAAAGCTTTTTTCAAGCATGTAACAGTTTTAAGGGTAGTCACCCCTTTGATAATCTCTTACCATTTTACAAAATGTAGGGATTTAATATTGCTTTAACTTCTTGTTCAAAAACACACAGTGCACTAAAACTTACAAATACCTGGAAAATTAATTTCTGACATTGCATTTACAGTAGTTTTAATGAGCGCTTATATGTAGTCATTAGGCAAACGACCCTTCCTCCAC